AGCCACCAGGCCCCACACTCCTCCCCCACAGAGCCACCAGGCCCCACACCCCTCCCCCACAGAGCCATTACTCAGAGCCCATTTCTTGCATAACCTTCTGGAACAACCAGCTTTAGGGGTTCTTAGCCCCCCGTCTGGGGAAGAAACTCCTGAGGGTGCTTCCCTCCCTCGCGCCCCAGCCCCCAGCTCCAGGATCCTGAGCAGTTTCTCTTCCGTCACACTTATTTCTGAGGGTTTTGAGTGGGCTCTGGGCAGTGTTTGCTCAGCAGCAGAAGTACCACTGGCCAGCAGCCTCTGGAAGCTGCCCAAGAGCTGACACGAGCTCTGTGGGCACAAGGGCTTTGTTCCCGCCTCTGCAGAGGCTGGCGCGCACCGGGAAGCCGGCTTCACAGGCCCGCGTCTCACCAGGCAGCCACATTAGAAAGCTCCTCACCCTTCAGGGAGCAGGGAGTCCAGCCCCTGAGGCTGCACAACTTGGTCCAGAGTGCGGGTCTGTGTTTGCTGTTTGCAAGGACACGAAATGTCAAGGTGGCCCCACTCCCTGAGCTCATGGAGGCGGGTGTTCAGAAGCAGGCTCTGGGCCAGGTGGTGTGTGTGTGTGTGCGCCAGGGGTGGGGTGGGGGATCCAGCTAGGCTGGTGGCTGGAGACCCTGTGCAGAGGCCAATCCCCTCACAGCTCACAAAACGCCCAGCCTGAATGGGTCTGACTGGGGCCTGAGAGTCCCGAGGGCAAGGCCTGGAGGTGGATCCTTGAGGAGGTGGGTAAAGGAGCCCCAAGGCCCAGGTGGTGACTGCCCACATTCTGCGGAGCTTCCTTGGAACTCAGCCCCAGAGCTGGCTGAGGCCCTCCTGCCCACCCTGGTGCTGGCCCACCATGGAGACAGCGTGTCCATGAGGGCCCGTGTCTCCCCACAGATGCACTCACCAGGCGGCACCACAGCGGACAGGTGCACCTGCCAGCCTGGGGGGAGGCCCTCTGTCAGGGCCATGTCTAATCCACCCTCACAGCCCAGAGCCCAGCCCAGGCCCCGCGGAGCAGGGTTGGCTGAGTGAAGGCTCCGACTGTGGACGGGGAGAGAGCGAGGCTGGAAACGGCTTCAGCGTAGACTGACTGCCCCAGGAAAGAGAAAAGGACACGGCCAGAGGCCAGGTGTGTTTTTTCCCTCACCCCTCGTTCGCTACAATGAGAAGTGTTAGCACAAAGGCACCTCCCACGCCCTGTCCCGCTCAGAAAGTTCTGGGGAAGTCGGTGGGGAGAACACTGCTCTCAGGTCCCGCTCTGGGCTCTGGGCAAGGAAATCTGGCTTCTCCAAACAGCCTGCAGCCAGCCCTCACGCCTCAGGGCTGAGACCAGGTCTACACAGAAAATGCTGTGAAGACAACACGCAGCTGCATCACCACAAGGAAGACAGAACAAGGATCTGGCAGGCGCCCTACGCAGTTCTCGCCCAGCTCAGCCTCAGTGTGTGTCTATGGGGGCCCGCGGGGGGAGAGGCTTTGCCAGGGTCAGAGGTCTCCACCGCCTGTCCAAGAACCTAACGCATCACACTAACGCCCTTTACCGCAGAATTCTCTCCTGCTTCCAGGTTCCCCACCAGGACAAGCAGCCTGGGGTTCCACGTGCCTCTGCTCAGAGGGAACACCACGCGTGCACCGGGCTGGAGGGAACACCCACAGGCCCAAGTTCAGGGAGTATTGGTGGCGGCCACAGAACTAGAGAATGGAGTTTTCAATTCCATGGGACCTACTGGGAGGGGAGGAACCGAACAGCTGGGCACAAGCACCTTGCCTGAGGGGGCAAGGCCGACACCAGCTTCTCTCACGAGGCAGCAGGCCTCTGGCTCGACCAGTCACAGCCCAACCCGCCCGTGTGCTGGGGATTCTGCTTATTCAAAACTGTGGTCCCTGACGGTGTGGGCACCACAAAGGAGCAGTTGTCAGGACACATTTCCTGAGTCAGGAGCCTGCCCAAGTTCATCTGAGCCAGCAGCCCCCGTTTTGCTGGCTGACATGTTTACTAGCTTTCAGGAATATCCCCCATGGTCCTGGGAGAGAGGGAAGGAGGCGGCAGGAAAATGCCAGGCTCAGGGAAGAACGAGAAAACCACTTCACCTCACTCAGGGAGTCATTTCTCTGAGAGTGAGTGTGAGGACGGAGGTCAGGTGACTGACAGGAGACGTGGGCTGAGCCAGTGCTCACCAGCTGCCTGGGGACCTGGAACACTAGAGGCTGCACTCTCCCCTGAGAGGGGGGCAGTGAGACCCCACAGAAATGCCCCTCACAGTTGCTCACATCCCCTGACCGGCAAGGATGACCTCCCGCCATCAGGAGCCGGTTCACCCCCTGAAAGCTCCCCCCAACCACACCAGTCTGAAAAAGGGACCAAGCGCCATGTCTGTGTTGCTGTAATTTAGCATTTAAAGTTCCCCTGTAATGATAAAAGTGCAATCTTTAGCTGGATGTCATCAAAGAAATCTGAAAACTAAAAGGGCAAAATCATCATAGATGAGAAGGGTAATGGTTTATGGGTTGAATCCCACAATATCGTAGCCTCTTGAAGTTTCGTTTTAAAGAAAATCCTTCAATCAGGATGACGCTCATTTCCCTGTAAACTGCAGGGCCCACCTCTTAAATGGGTCAAGGACTAGACGTGCACAGAGTGACTTTCTACAGCCTTTCTCAGGGGCCTTTACTAAGTAGCAAGGCTGTGAGGAGGAAGAGCAGGAATCTCCTGGATTTTACAGACTCGGAAACAAAGGCGGAGTCAAGGGCTGCCCAGGGTCCCAGGTCAGGTGTGGCAGAGCCGAGTCTTGAGACAGGTGTCCTGAGCCAAAATCACATGCCCTTTCCCTTCTGGTGAGCTCCTGAGGCTCAGGGTCACTCGGCACCCAGAGCAGGGCACGTCCTGTTGCTGATGGCCCGTGAGGGAGCGTGCGCGCATGAGTGTGTGTGTGTGTGGCACGTGTGTACCTGCAGTGGTGCGCTCGGTCGGGCTTGATGCTGCAGCATTTGGGACACTTGTACACCACCTGGCCGGGCTTCAGTTGTAAACTCTCGATGAATTCTTTAGTGGCATTTCCTTTGGGCACTGCCCCCTGTAAGAAAGAGGAAAGGCGTCAGTGTTGGCTAAGGGTTCCAGCATCCCACAGTGGGCACAGTCATTTCAAAGGAGCCATTGCACACACAGGGACGGGGCATTTTCATCCTGACACATGGACTCTGTTAAGCATTACACAGGGATGGGGCAGGTGCACCCCAACATGTGGACTCTGTATTCAGAATTATGCCAACACCAATGAGTATATATTGACAATTTTCCCCAGAAATTGCCAAAAAGTGAACACATGGGTGCTCATCATCTCATCATTTTATACCCTTTCAACTGTCTGAAGTATTTCTCATTAATAATTTTTCTAAAAGTTAAAAAAGTAGTAGAAAAAAAAATCTGGTCTGCAAAATGCAGTCAGATGCCAGAAAAGCCTATAACAGAAGTTTTAAAAAGCAAACAAACTGTGGTAGGCAAGGACTGCATGGTATGTACAACCTTAGTCAGATACAGTTTCACATTAAATATGCCATAAAGCACACAGCTACTGACACGGGAAACACCCGTGATAGATTGTTAAAGGGAAAGCAGACTTTCAAACAGTACAGAGACTATAAGCCCGTTTTGGCAAAGATTTTCTATATACATGCATAAAAAGACGAAGATACACACAAAAGTATTAATGGTTATCCGACATAGTAGGATCACAAGAACATCTTTTCTTGACCATCTTTCTGAATGTTCTATTATAAGCATGTGCTTTTGCAATTAAAAAAGCTCATTAAATAAACAAGCAAAAAAATACACCTCAGGAAGGAGCTACCTGGAGTAGGACTATGACCAACTTTCCTGAGGTTCGTTACCACGATGTTGAGACCGCTGAGGGTCCTTGAGGCATCAGCGGAGGGTCGGGTCTGGAAGTCTGACTCACAGGGAAGGTGGGGCCCAACCACCCACACAGCAGACTTTAAAGGGGCCTGCGGAGGACACGGGCCATAAACCAACAAGAGAACAAACAAAACAACAACACTAGGCTATACCCCTGAAACCAATACAAAATAAAAATCAACACAAAACAAAGAACTCCGAAATGTTCTGTGAAGGTACAATCTACTCATTACACAAAATGGAGACGTACAGGGAAATCCCTAGAGCAGTGGTTCTCAACCTTCCTAATGCCGCGACCCTTTAATATAGTTCCTCATATTGTGGTGACCCCCAATTTCATTGTTACAAATTGAACATAATTAAAGCATAATGATTAATCACAAAAACAATATGTAATTATATGTGTGTTTTCCGATGGTCTTAGGCGACCCCTGTGAAAGGGTCGTTTGACCCCCAAAGGGGTCGCGACCTATAGGTTGAGAACCGCTGCTCTAGAGCCATTTCCTGGCCCAGAGTCCTGGGAGGCCACCACAACCCAGCCTTCTTACCAGTGGCCCCAGGCCACACCCAGTCAGAACCCATCTCAGGGCCTTTGTGCTTGCTTGTATTTGTCTTGTAACAACTACCATTTAACTACACTCTAATTCCTGGAGGACAATGTCTTTCAACTTGCAGCCCAGGAGCAGGTATTAATAAAGCCAAGCTGAACAGTAATGATGATACAACAGACACTTAGTGCTTTGCTGTATTTTGCCAGTTAATTCTGACAACAGACCTATGAGGTAGAGACCATGCTATTCCTCACTGTAGAGATGAGGTAACTAAAGTAGAGAAGCTAAGCAAGTTCCCAGGATCAGATGGCTAATAAGTGGCAGAAGAGGATTAGACCTAGCCATTCGCGTCTAGAACCTACCCTCCATCAGAAGGCAACATGTATTTGTCAGATGTTTCTATTAAGTGATTTGAAGAGGCCCTGATGCCATCCTATCATTCTCCTGCCAACACTGTATCAACACACTCACTGTGATGGAACAGCCTAGGATAAGGCCTGCTTTAGGACGCAGCTAGGACAGCAGGAAATGCAAGGACACAATGCAAAGCCATGGAGATGGGTTCTGAAGAAAGATCAATGGTTCAAGGACTCAACCGTCCCATTCATTTCAAGCAACAAGGACAAAGCCTGCATACATTGTTTCAGGGGCCATGGGATCGAGGCGTGTGCACACCTGCTGAGCTAAGCAGAAACTCTCTGAGCTCCAACAGGCCTGTGCCCAAGGCCACCTGGCTCCTCCACAGGTGTAGAAAGTAGGTAATCCCCACCCGGTCACGCTCCTCTCCCTGGAGCCAGAAGGCTTTCGGTTGGCATTGATGAGTTGCTCAGTGGCAGGTATGAGAAGGTGCGGAGCATGAAGGAGAGCAAAGCACCCCACTCAAATGAACCCCGAGGCAAGTCCCCTGACCCTACACAGGGAATGTGGTAATACCTTTGGGCAAGATGGGCACAGCCCTTCTATAGCAGAACCTGGTTGGGCGGACCCAGTGTCAGTCCTCTTCTGTGTTCCCAGGGCCGGACCTCATGCTCCCAGCTACTGACCCCAGGAAATAGCCGCTACCTGAGTCTTCCCCAAGAATCAGTGACCTGCAGTGGTCGGAGACTGTCAAGTGCAGTCTGTTTACAGCAAGGAATCCACTAGGGGGGACGGAAGGCAGGCAGGCGGATTCCCTTTTCCTGAGCAATGTGGTTACATCGAATGGCTTTATAGTCCTCCTTGACTCAAATCTAAGACTTGAGATAATTTACAATGAGGTTAATAAATTATTAGGTCCAAAGAATGGAAGAGTACAAAACATGCTGATCATTAGGACGGACACAATTGCGTGGTTGTCTGGTGTTTGGCTTTGAGCTTCCTAGCAGTCGGGGCAAAAGGAAAGCTTTAAGCTGGGAGGCGGACACTTTCCCAGAGCTCAATTTAAAGGGAGTCAGTCCCTCAGGAGTTCACAGGACGAGGAATTAAAATGTACTTGTAACTGGGAAAGAAAAGGTGGTGAGGCTGGGAGAGGGAGGGAAGGAGAGAGGAACCGAGACAAGGGTTTCTGAGTCCAGGCTGCCTGGGCAGGTGGAGCCCCTCTCGACTTGAGTGTTTCAGGAACACGGAGAGCTCCTTTGATGAGATTACACAACCTGAGTGGGCAAGGAGGCACCTGACATCAAACGCCAGTCTGACTCGTTCCTGCCCACGCTCATGCCACCTCCAGACCAGCCCTCTGCCCAGTGAGGCACCTGCCCCTCTGTGTCTGTCCCCTTCCCTCTCTTTACAGGCCTATCCCTTTTACCCCATCCCTCAAATGGATAAGTTTCTTGCGAGTCAATTCCCTTTTCTCCTCAAGCTCTATGTGGGCTCATTTACTAACTGCTCACTAAATGGTCCAGAAAATGTGGCTGTCGTTGTTTTGATGTTACATTTGGAAAAAGAATCTCAAAGCTGAAAGTGATACAGTCACCATCTTGGGGAGACTATAAGATCTTTTCTTTTTTCCTTTTAAAATAGTAATAAGCCAAAGCATATACACTGTCATACATTGTCATACATTGTTTATAACCTTAGGTGTAACTTTTTCTGAAAGTTACAGGCAACATGAATCCTTGAGATACAAACATTATAATCTTATTAGAGAACTTAGAACCATACAGAGGCTCCTTTCTAAAAACAGACTCCCCCTTTGGTGTCAATGAGGCTGCAGGCATTGATGAGAAAGTGGGACGTGATCTGCTTTCTGTGTGGGATCTGGGCCCCAACTCTGCTCCTGGGAAGCCCAGGGTGCCCCAGGGGCTCCCATCACTGCAGCTCCCCACTCTGTTTCCATACTGAGTTTGGCATAAGATGCCATGTGCTGGGAAGGGATAGGCAGGTGGCAGCATGAAAACCCACGATGAGCCTGAGACATGGCCTGTCTGTAGGACATGCTTTGAGTTGCTCCCTTTACAGTAGTAGATACTAGACAGATGCTTCATATTTTTGCCCAGTTTTCTTTGGGGCCACCAGCAAAACACTCCCATGAGAAGTTGGCTGGAGTTTGGGATACAGACTATGGCTCCCATTCATTAGGGATTGGAAGCCCAGCAACATACCATAGTGAGGATCATTCTCTCCCGCCTCCAACTGCAAAGGGGCCGGACTGAGGAGGCCCCTGGAGACAATGTGGGGGTAAAAGAACACACACATGTGAGGGCAGCAAAACCTCTAGTTCCCCGATTCACACACCTTCTAGAAACCAATGACCTTTGCACTCCACTCTGGTCCTGCCCCTCCACCAGCCCCAGACCTGGCTATCTTCTGCCTATCTGGCGTCTCTGCTTACATGTAATATAGACACAGTTTGGCCAGAACAAAAGCCTTGCTTTCTCTTCCTAAATCTATTCTCCCAGACTCTCCCCGTTCAATAAATGGCACCAGCAATCAATCCCCTGGCTGCTCAAGCCAAGACGACTCTGGAAGGCACACTCTTTGATCTCTTTCCATTCTGTCAGCTCTTCTGAATGGCGGTTTTCAGACCTGGCTGAAACCGAGGGACTCCTGGGAGCTTTAAAGCATCCCAATACCCAGGGCCCCGCCTCAGACCAATTAGAGGGGACTCTCTGGGGGCGGGGCCAGGCATCAGTACCTTTAAAAGCTCCCCAAGGGATTCTAATGTACAGCCGGCTGGGCTTGAGAATTGGTGGCTTAAAATATACTCCAAACCCAACAGCTCCTCTCCAGCTTCACCGTTCCCACCTTGGTTTGAGCCGCACGCCTTGTGTGGAACACAGCAATGCCTCTTATCTTCCTGCTTTTACTTATCGCCACCCAAAACCCCATCCCAAGCACAACACCTGCTCCCATCATGCCTTTCTGATGGCTCCCATGGCATGTAGAACACAGACCAGAGTCCTCAGAAGGCCCACAGGCCTGCAGGATCTGCGTCTGCAGCTTTTCTATCTCATCTACCCCCTCTTGCTCCCACTCGCTTCGCTTCAGCCACCCGGGTCTTACTCCTGTTTCTCCTCTTCCTGAAGGCTCTGCCCTAAGATCTTCATTTGCCTGACTGGCAGCTTCACATCACTCAGGTCTCAGCTCAAATGGTCCTGCCTCAGGAAGGCATTCAGACCACCTTGATCTAAAGTAGTCCCCCTTCACCTCATACAAGTCACCACCACATCACCCCGTCACTGTTTCATGGTCTTTACAGCACCCGTCCCTTTCTGAAATCACCTCGTCAATCACGTTACTGCCTGACCCCTCTGAGGATGTGAGCGTCAGGAGAGCAGGGATTTTGGTCTGTCGTGCTCACAGCTGTCTCCATTGCTCAGAATGGAACCTCTCACATAGTAAACCTCTCACTCGATAAACAAGCCATTCATTTTATTCCATCCTCGGTGTGCCCTGGTCTCCTCCTCACTGCTGCCAGAGTGATCCTTGTAAAATGACAACTGATCTT